GGGTCTCGCTTCCGGCTTGAAGACGACTAGCCACACTGAAGAGCTGTGATACAGTGAAACAGTTTCTCTGTGGATGAATATATATATGTGTGTGTGTGTGTCTATGTCTGTGTGTGGGTCTGTGTGAGTTGGTGTGTGTGCATAAGAAATAATGGCAAAAAGAAAATGTTTCTTTACCAAATATATGCAAGGCTTCACGAATTTGCGAGTCATCCATGCGTAGATTGGTGAATCGTTCCATGTTTTGGGGAAAGGAAAAAATTTCCTTTCGTCTTTATTACATATTGTCTTTTTTACAGATATATGTTTATTTAAATAGGAATTTTCGCACACACACATACACACACACACACACACACATATATATATATATATATATATATATATATATTCATACTCGTTTCATTAAATAATATAGACAAGTGTTGTCTATTTATTTTATGTAAATTTTTTTCGTAACATCTGATAAGTTTAATAACATTATCGTTGAACGAAAAAAAAATTCACAATATTGATCCATATTTTTTATTTAATACAATCTAAGCTTTCGGCTTACATTAGCCATTATCAAAGATGTCAATTACAACATAATATAAGGACAAGACAGTGATGATAGTCTGTCATTGTTTACATAGATGATTTCTAAGCAACGATAAACACGTGCATATAAGACGCTAGAAGCGAAAATCGCACCGCATCTCATGACGTCACACATGAACACACGAGAGTGAATTGGAGAAGTATAAAGTATGAAGTATGGCAAGCCGTTGGTGTAAACCAATGGCTTCTGTTACCAATTATAGACATTTAAGAATATTTGTAGAGATACCATAGAGATACCATAATTGATTTTGTTTAGGTCGGGTTTCAACTGTTTGATGTATAATTGTGAATTGTGTGTGCGGGTAGGCCTGTTGTTTAAATGCCTAAAAATGTTAGAGTTTTCATTCAAATGTAGTGTCAAGCGTCGTGAAAGCGAGTTTGTGGTGTGACCAACATAAATATTATTTAATTCGTTGGAGATACACTCTCCCAAAGAGCACGTGAATTTATAAACTATGTTGGTTTTTTTGCAAATCACGCAAACCTAACCTAAACATACTTCATACTTTATATTATTTAATGAAACGTGTATATATGAAAAGATGCTGCCTAAATACACACACAATATATATATATATATATATATATATATATATATATATATATATTATATGCGCAGTACTTATTGGAAAATGCTCAATATCAGTGTTAGCTAACATATTCAATTTCTTGGATATGAGTTTGTGATCCCAGCTGCTACTTGTTGAAAGGTACATCGCTACATATGATAAACGCTACAGTCTGGACACTGCAATAGAATTACAATTGCGTATGTATGTATGCTGAGACCCATAGATGAGTATCTGCGCCTAGCCTCGGATTGTTTATATCGCTGTGTTTGTGTGAACTATAATGCGTACACCTGTATGTATATATATATATATATATATATATATATATATGTGTGTGTGTGTGTGTGTGTGTGTGTGTGTGTGTAGTGTGTTACCTCAAATAAACACTGAAGAAAATTCCCCCCTCCCATCACAAATATAATCAAACACAAGCAAGCATAAATAGATAGAATTTTTTAAAAAAATGAACCAGTGTATTTGGTGGCCGCAAAAGAGTGAAATCCAGGGTCACAATCTCATATGCATACAACTGAATATATATATATATATATATATATATATATATATATATATATATATATATATTTTACCAGTTTGTCACTGGAAGGGAATAATTGCGAGAAAGAGACTTTTAATTATCCATTTCGTTTTATAATGTTTATTTCATGAACACCAGATGTTCATCTCATCAGAACGACAACGTGCTACACACACACACACACACACACACACATATATATATATATATATATATATATATATATATATATATATATATATAGTACAGGTAAGCGATCCGTTGGTATATAATACGGGTAGATCCTACTAACATTAATTATTAAATCTGATCCACAGATATATATTTATTATAACGGTGCTTATGTATTTTTTTTTTTTTACAGCAAAAAACAAAAATTACCTCAACACAGAGGATAGTCTATCTCAGGTCATTCTGTACGCGGCTATCATCAGATCCTGATAACTGCTTACAGAACGAATTGAAATAGACTATTTTCTATGTTTTTTTTTCTGTAATATATATATATATATATATATATATATATATATAAAATATATAGTAATTAATGTCAATAAACTTTAGTAATATCTGATTGATCTATTCTTCAATGGTGAAGCAGATTTTTTAATTTTATAATATACAACAACGAATTTTAAATATACAACATACATGTCTTGTTTTTTTACAACATACATGTCTTAATTTTATAATATATAATATACATGTCTTAATTTTATAATATACAACATACATGTCTTAATTTTATAATATACAAATATACATGTCTTAAATAATATAAATATTT